TTTTTTTCTTAATTAATGAAAATCTAGTTAAAGTTCATCTCTAAACTTTTTTTTATTGCGTCCAAAAAATTTGGTGTTGCCATGACGGTAAATTTTTTTGAGTACATGTCATGAAATGATCTCTTTTTTATGAATTCAATAAATATGATATATAATTTAATAAGATGCAATAATTTTGAAGTATTCATTTTACTTTATGTATAATAAATTTATTTTTTATGTGAATTCAATAAATATGATACATAAATTAATAAGGTACAATGATTTAATCAAAATAAGCTTCATTGAGTCTTAAAACACTCTTGAATTTAGTGAGGTCTTACTGTAAATCTTTTTAGAATATGTTTATCTTGGGGCATAAGTTCAATAATATCTACTACTCCCTCCATTTCAAAATAAGTAAATTATTGAGGCAATAGACACCCATTAAGAAAAAAAGTTTAGGACATAAAATAAACATCACTTTTTTTTTTTCCACCAAATAAACATCACTTTCCACTTTTGTCTTTTAAATATTTTCAAACTATAGTTTGAAAATATAAATAATGTAAAGTAAAATCATAAAATGAGCAATTAACTTTCTTGAAATTGCCACCTACAAGATGTAAATGAGGGGCAAAAATGAAATGAAAGGACGCAATTGAAGCATAATTGACTTCACTTGAGAAACGTGAAGTTTTCGAATCAATAATCTGAACACCTGAAGGTATCAAACCAATGGGATACAAATGGATTTTTGTGCAAAAACGAAATGAAAAAGGTGAAGTCGTAAGATATAGAGCATGACTTGTGGCTCAAGGATTTTTTCAAAGGCCTGACATTGACACTACTAAAAATTTATCGAAAAACGACGGTCAAAAGTGACGGACTGCGTCACTTTTTTTTATCAAAATCGACGGAAAAGCGACGCAGTCATGTTCGCCGCTTTTAAAAAAGCGACGGACAGCGTCGCAAAAAAGCAACGGACTGCATCGCTTTCTGATTTTTTTCAGGATTTTTTTTTGTGTCATTATTTGTTCAAGAATAAACATGAAAGCCGTGGAAATGCTGGAGATTCATTTACAAGAGATGATTTCAGGTGTTGGAACAAAGCTTTAGAAAGATTCAAAAAACATGTTGGTAAGGTAAATAGTATCCATCATAAATATTTCAATAGGATGCAAGATTTGATAAACCAAAGGCAATCGATCCAATCTTCTTTTGACAAGCAAAGTGAAAAGCAAGAAGTGATTATCGGATGCGTTTAAATGCCTCAATTGATGTAGCAAGATCTCTTTTGACATCGGAATATTCATTTCGTGGACATGATGAAAGTTAAGGTTCTGAATATAAAGGTGTTTTTCTTGAACTTTTGAAATGATATGGGAATAGAAATTTTGATGTGGGAAGAGTAATATTAGGTAATGCTCCACAAAATAATATGATGATTTGTCTGACAATTTAAAAAGATATTGTGGAGGCTTGTGCTAAAGAAACTACTAAGGTTATCATTGAACACTTGGACGATGATTATTTTAAAATATTAGTTGATGAATCAAAGGATGTCTCTCATAAGGAGTAAATGGCTCTAATTTTGAGATATGTCAACAAAAGTGAAATGGTGATAGAGCGATTCTTGGGTATTGTCCACGTAAATGATACATATTCTCACTCATTAAAAAAGACAATTTATTCTTTGCTTTTGGATCACTCATTATGTACATCCAAAATACGTGGTCAAGGTTATGATGGGGCTAGTAATATGCAAGGGTAAATAAATGGTCTCAAGTCTTTGATTTTACAAGAAACGTCATCTGCATATTCTATTCACTGTCTTTCTCACCAATTACAATTGGCACTGGTAGGTCTTTCCAAAGGAAATTCGGATGTGGATAATCTTTTTATGTTCTCACTAATATTTTGAATACTATTGGAGCTTCTTTTAAACGCAGAGATTCACTTCGACAACATCAAGAAGATAAGTTGGAAGAATTGCTTAAATTTGGAGAAGTTCATACAGGACAAGGTTTGAATCAAGAACATGACCTCCAACGACCGGGTGATACTCGTTGGGGGTCTCATTTTAAAACCTTGGACAATTTCCTGATTATTTTTTCTTCAATTGGTAATGTGCTTAAGGATATTAAACGTGATTGCCCATATCATCTTGATAGATTTGCAGCGGAAAATCTTTTGAGCAAGATTCATGAATTTGAATTTGTCTTTATGTTGCGCTTAATGTTTAAGGTGTTGTTATTGACAAATGAGTTGAATAAAGTCTTACAGAAGAAAAAAAAGATATCGTTAATGCTTTGGAGTTGCTTAACTTTTCAAAGAAACGATTGCAAATGATGAGAGAGGATGAATGAGACTCTATGATGGATGAGACTAGCTTATTTTGTGGTAAACATGGTATATCAATTCCCAAAATGGTTGAAGACTACTCTAATGAAAAGTCGAAGCGTAAGAGGTCCAATATTTCATATTTGCATCACCTTCGTGTGGAAGTATTTTATGTCGTCATTGATTTGGAACTTCAAGAGCTCAATAATCGTTTTGATGTGGTGACTAGCGACTTACTCCTCGGTATGACTAGTTTGAGTTCGATTGATTCATTTGCTATTTTTCACAAGGATAGGATAATGAAACTAGCCGAGTACTATCCAAGTGAGTTTGGTGATAAAGAGCACCGGGAACTCAATTTTCAACTTGATAATTTTATTGTTTATTCTCAAAAGTGTGATAGCAATTTTCTCAACTTGAAGGGAATCAAGGATCTTGCAAGAGTGATGATAGAGACAAAACTAGATCAAACTTGATCACTTGTGTATTTCCTTGTGAAGCTAACTTTGTTTATTTTTGTTGCTATCGCAAGCGTGGAAAGAACATTCTCGTCAATGAAGTACAGAAATAATGTTTTGCGTAATAGAATGGATGAAGATCTTTTGAATGGTTGTTTAGTTTGCTATATAGAGTGTAGTAAATTTAAAAATGTAACTAATGATGTCATTATTGACAGTTTTCAAAATATGAAAACTCGTCGAGGACAATTGTAAGTGAATGATGTTTTTTGCTAATATATTACTATATAAAGATTGCTACTCTATATAGAGTGTAGTAAATTTAAAAATGTAACTAATGATGTCATTATTGACAGTTTTCAAAATATGAAAACTCGTCGAGGACAATTGTAAGTGAATGATGTTTTTTGCTAATATATTACAATATAAGGATTGTTACTTGCTCGTCAACTTGTGTCATTGTAAATTTTATATAATTGAATTAAATGTCTATTTTGAAGATAATGGTGTCCCCATGTTCTTGAGATCCTGGATACGCCTCTAATTGAGTAGTCCAATGGTTGTGAGATCTCTTGATATTAATAAAGATCCATTCCGACATCATGAAAATGGAGGAGAAATTGTTGGTGCTAAAATACCATATCTTAGTGCAATTGGTGCATTAATGTTTCTTGCTAATAATTCTAGACCAAATATATTCTCGGTAAGCTTGTTAACAAGGTTCAGTTCTTCTCCAACACTAAGACACTGGAATGGAATTAAGCATATATTTAGATACCTTCGAGGGACCATTGATATGAGATTGTTTTACTCAAATGAATCCAAGTCACAATTGATTGGTTATGCAGATGCAGGATATTTGTTTGATCCCTATAAAGGTCGTTCGCAAACAGGCTATTTATTTACATGTGGTGGTACATCTATATCATGTCGTTCAACAAAACAAACTATGGCTGCCACTTCTTCAAATCATGCAGAGTTAATAGTCATTCATGAAGCAAGTCGATAATGTGTTTGGTTGAGATCAATAACTCAACACATTCAAGAGATATGTGGTCTTTCTTTGAAAAGAGATATTCCAACAATATTGTATTAAGACAATGCTGCATGTATAGCTCAACTAAAGAAAAGACACATTACAGGAGATAGAACAAAACATCTTTCACCAAAATTCTTTTTTCATTCATGATCTGCAAAAGAAAGGTGATATAGATGTTCAACAAGTTCGTTCAAATGCTAATTCAGCAGATATGTTTACTAAGGCATTGTCGACTTCAACCGTTGAGAAATTGAGATACAAAATTGGAACCCGTCGTCTTTAAGATATTAAATGATGTTTTCATTAGGGGGAGTAAATACGCGCTACACTCTTTTTTTCTTAACCAAGATTTTTGTTCCATTGAGTTTTTTCTTGATAAGGTTTTTAACGAGTCAGCAAACAATGCGTATTAAGAATAACTATTTACACTCTCTTTTCTTCTTCTAGATGTACATGGATATCCAAGGGGGACTGTTGTAAATAATGAAATGTGGATGTCCTGTAGCAAATCCACACTTCATGACTTTTAAGGATTTTAGTATAATATATAGGGGATTTAACTATGACTTTAAAGATTTTCTTCATGACTTTGAAGGATTAATAACACACTCCGACCTTATATATATTCCACCTATCTAATGAAGTTGTATACATGCATTGAAATATTGGAAGAAAAACATTACTGCTCTTTCTCTTCATTTTTTTCTTCTTTTAATTTCTAATACTTTATTTTATAACAGTATAGAGTTGTATTCATAAATGTTTATCAATAAAATCTCCAATTTCTATCATATTTTATTTATAATTGTAGTCAATTTCCATCGCCTTCTTTATTGCAAACAATAATGAAAAGTTCTTTTCCTATCCTTGAATATATTTGCACGTGAAAAGTGTTGAATGACATAATTGAGATATTTTATTAAAAATTAAAGTTGTAATTTTATGACTATACAGTTATAACATAGAATAGTGAATGATAATATTCTTAAAAATAGAAAATGGAATTAGTGGTTGCTATTAACAACCCATTGCATCATTTTGATATTGCACTTTCCAAGATTGGGTCAATAACACTTTTTCTTTTTTGGTTTTGGACAAAATAGTATTGTAATGTTGAGTCAGCACATCATAATTGATGTTTACCAATAAACACGCTCATATATATAATGTTAGAATGCACGTATGGTGATGGAGTGTCAATGTAGATAAGTTATCCTCACAATCGCCCATAGCAGCGTACAACACACCGAATTTAGGGCAATCCTTTATCTTCTCCTTCTTCTCTACTTTTTCAAAAATCTATACCTTCAACATAAAGCAACTCTCTCTCTCCCTTATATGCAATAAATTTTAATTTTTGAATTCTCCAAACAGGGCAAAAGGAAAACAAACAAAAAGCCTAGATAGAGGCTTTAATATTGTTGGGTAGATAATTCTACCTCACGTCTTTATCCATTTGCCTTGTTTTTTTCATTCTAATATGATGAGAAGGCAACAGGATCAACAATCTAAGGTTTTAGAACAACTTTCTTCTTTGATTTTAAATATTATACGATCACCACCGGCGCCGATTGAGTTTTACGATGATTCCTCAATGTCTCCATCCTCTTCAGGGAGGAGGATGGCTGTCGCTGGGTCGATGCACCAAATTACTCCGGCCGGATTTGCATCTCTGCTTTTGGGAATATCCTTTGCTTTGATGCTTTGTGGATCCGTCACTTTCTTTATTGGCTTTTTAATGATGCCATGGGTGCTTGCTTTGATTATGCTCTTTTATGTTGCTGGAATTGTTTACAGTTTGACTATGATTGGACGAGCTATTTTCTCTCATTTATCTTCTCCCTCCTCACCAAGAAAAGATTTTCACCGTAAGATTTCAATCTCTTTACAATTTTGTTGACAGAGTTCAGTTAGCTAGGTTTGCACATATTGTGGTTTCAACAGATAAGTACCCTATTTTATGTCCTTCTAATAGTTGAATTAAATGGGAACGATGTAGACTTTTTGACTTATACATTAATCGAGGAGCTTGGCTTGGACAGTAGTAAACGATTATTTGGAACTGGATACAACATATTTCCTTGTAGAAGAAAATGGAAGTCAAATTAACTCAGTAAATCTTACCGGAAATATCTTCCAGTCCTTCTAATGTTTAATTTCGATATCTGGATAAGTTGGAGCTTGCACCTTTGTCCCTTAAAGTCTTCTTGTATTTTTTCTGTACTGTGAAAATATCAATTTCCTTTTGAGGAATTTGCATTATGTTAAATTAGCAAAAAGTTTAGGTTGTTTTCTTTTTTCACACTGCTTTGTAATGCTTTTACTTGAGCCGACCGTCTATCAGAAACAACCTCTCTACCTCACAAGGTAGGGTAAGTTTTGCACACACACTATCCTCCTCAGACCCACTTGTGGGATTACATTGGGTATGTTCTTCTTGTTGTAAAGTTGCACAAGTTACTGCATGATCCAAATTTTATGCATATTTACGTACTATGTGAATAATCAAATACAACCATAGTTAAATTTGTACAATTTCAACTCAAGGTTCCAATCAGGAGACGGTTTGGATTACTTCTGGTAGTGAGAATTCTGTTTAAGGGCTTTATGTATATTAGAGTAGTAGTTGCGTGCGGATTTCATGGTATTTTAGTTTGACCTGGCTTCTTGGGATTCTCTTTTGCATATATCAAATTGCGTAACACCACTTTTTTTATGATCAGGACACCGTATTGCTTGATATTTTCACATGGCTTATGCAGAAATAGTTGGAAGTATATCGCTAATAGACACAAGGTCAAAATGAGTTCGTGTTTAATATGTTTATTCTTGCAAGTTCGCTCTGGATGTAAATGAGGCTTTAAAATGAAAGACTTTTCATCATGTACTCGTAAGCTGTTAAGGTAAATTATCATTGTTAGAGTTGCATTTGCTTGGTGCTAGTTTAAAACACTTTATTCGCTTCCCCTTTCCATTAACAGTCTCACTACTATTGTGTTAGTATTATCATTCCTCCATTTTACTACTGCTGCTATTCCTTTTTTACTTTGGATCTCTATTTTTTGTTGTCAATAGTTTACTCTTCTTCACATTTTCTCAACATATCTCAAACCTATTTTGAAAATGCTTTTCTCAAACCGATGGTCTTATCCCAAGTAACCTCTCTAACTTACCCTCGGTAGGCTCAAGGTCTGCTAGACCCCTCCCTCACCAGATCCCATTTTTATGGGATCAAACTTCATATGTTGTTGTTGTATTGAGTTGCATTTGCATAGTCATATAAGCATACAGATTAGAGGTAAGACATGTATGGTTTTGAAAATACAATCTGTGGAAGGAATTATGGATTATTTCTTGTGAATCTAAAGGAGGGAAGGTTCAACAGTTCTTGGTACTTGAATTTTTTTTCCTTTAACAAGTCCACATTTTGTTTTACCTACAACAATAACAACATATCCACTGTAATCCTATATGTGGGGCACTTTGTTTACCTACTTGAGAATAAAACCTTTTTTTATGGTTGCGATTACTGAGTGTACAGTAGGTCATTAGATTTATATGTGACCTCTGAGGAGCTGTATGAGGCGATAATCTCACGTATGGTTCTTGACTTATTTCTTTTCCAGCAACAAATAGCTTCACAGTATGTGGGCTTTTTTAAGAGTGTTTCATTGTTAAGCATTGTCATGATTTTTTCAATCCATCTGTCTAGAACATGTTACAATGGATGTATATTGAAGTTGCTCAAGTCTTTGCTTGGATTAAGTCACAAGTATTCTGTTAATTTGGAAGGAAACCTTAGTATACCTATGAACTAAGGTACTCATAAGAAACCTGTTTTATAAGTAGAAATCAGCTTAACCTGTTTTTGGACATTCATACTCATCTTTTAAATTTTACTGTAGTAATCTAGCTTTATACTGCATTTTGTTTTGTTCTTCCACTGGTCGTCTTTTCTTGTCAAGGATGGCTGGTGGGGGGTTTTGAGACACTCTGCTCTGCCCCCTTATATGTGATTTTCCAGGATGTAGTCCCAGAATTCCTCTTCACTCCATTCCTTGAATTTTTAATTGCAGACTGGAAACTTTTCTGAAGCAATTTAAACACTTGAATGGTGATTGATTGTTTACTACGTCATAAGATGGAAGCTTCCCGGCAATGTTTAGAGAATGGATGCAGGAATGTCGATATTAATGAAATGAGGATATTGGAAGGTGATCTTTCGTAGTGGAGCAGGGAATAACTTGAGGATGGATGTATATTTTTAGTTATTACGTAGAGAGAAGGAAGCTCAAAATTTCTGTGCCTTGATGTTTTCCTATCTCAGTACACTATTCCTTGAGAGATGTAGAAACAGTAGTTCATTGTTTCATCCATGAAGTAACATTATCCTTGTGAATATTTCCTCAATGTATGGACGAACACGTTACATGTCTATGGGAAAATATAGTGAATGACATTGCTCTGAATTTGACAACTGCAACCTTCGTTCGCTTATATGGGTTTTCCCTTTGCATATTAACATCTTAGGTACGCCCTACACCCTATCACACATTACATGATTGTCTCTACCACTTTTGGCTGCTCTCAACACTATCATCTAGCTTCGTTTTATGTTTGGATTGGTTAAAATGTTTTGAAAATTATTTTCTTTGAGAAAATACTTCTTAAGATATGAGGAAATTCTAAACGAATAAGAAATAAATAAGTTTCATACGTGACAATACTTCATTTTATGTTTGGATTGGTTAAAATGTTTTGAAAATTATTTTCTTTGAGAAAATACTTCTTAAGATATGAGGAAATTCTAAACGAATAAGAAATAAATAAGTTTCATACGTGACAATACTTCATTTTATGTTTGGATTGGTTAAAATGTTTTGAAAATTATTTTCTTTGAGAAAATACTTCTTAAGATATGAGGAAATTCTAAACAAATAAGAAATAAATAAGTTTCATACGTGACAATTTATGTTCATTGTCTCATCACCGTTCCAAACCCTATCTTATTTCGACAGTGTTTTGCTAAATTAAATATAAATATTCTTAGGACAATATTTTTAATTACTTGTCAAATGCTAAAATTAAATACTCTCCTTGTTTCAATTTGTTTGTTCTATTTATATTTGACACGGAATTTAAGAAATTAAAGAAATTTTTTGTATCATGCCATTTTAAATACTAAAATGTTCTTTAATTTTATTGTCTTTCAACATGTCACATAAAAAGTAGAGATTAAAGAATCACCAAAAAATATTATTTTTTTAACGAACTAAAAAGGAAAATAGAGCAAATAAACTAAAACACATCAAATAAAATAAAAACTCAATTATTTTTCACGAAAAAAATTATACAAAATATTTTCGTTCGTACGAACATGCCCATTAATATACATTTTAACAAATATCTCCTTTAACCTACACAAAGATGTTTGGAGTAACTTCTCTGAAAAATTTAATTATGATGTGCTAAAGACATTTCCCACAATTTGCCATTTCGAGCATGACAACCAATGGAATTTGGACACGTATGTAAGGTGACACGGTTTTGACATAATTCTCCACCTATGGGCTGGATTGGGACGCCTTTTTAAAAAAAATTTGAAATCTATCTGTTACACAACTTCGTCATTTGCCTAGGGGCAGTTGCACCGTAAATTTGAATCACCGAAGACTTTAATATGCTCCATTAGGAGTTCGGAACATTTTTTGAGTTATACAGAGAGAAAAGTAATCAAAATAAGTCATTATTCTAGAAAGAAATTAAAATAGATTAGTGTAATTTTTTCTTCTATTTTACTGAAAATATAAACTGCAAACGTTAGTATGTTAACGTCTGTATTTTAACATAAAACGAAAAAAAATTTCACTTTATAAAGTGTAACTTTTTCTTACACTTTATAAGAAAAGTTAACTTTCCCAAAATCTTTTCACTTTCATCTTCTCAAAATCAATTTTATAACTCTTCACTGGTCCCTGATCCGACAAACCAATCGCCCCGCAACAAAAATCGAATTCTCAAAAGATTGGAGATACGTAGCACAACCCAACAATCCGGCCCTACAATTTTTTTAAAGTTATTTATTTCTTTTCATCTTATATTTATTGATCCTTGATTAATAAATAAATTAGTGAAAGATTTGAAATGATATTGTTGTTCTAATTTATTTAAAATTTCGTTTATATATAGTTAAAGTCAAAAGCATGATTTTTCTCTTAGAATAAGTGCTAATATTTTGTGAAGTAATAATCTAGACTTGAGGAGAACTGTAACACTTCGCTATTTGAAAGCACTAGAAAGAGCTAGAATTTGAAAGAACCTGTTTTTGGAAATAATCAAATTTGAAAAGTTTGACAAGTTAAGCTAAGTATGAGTTTTAGGTCAACTTCAAACTACAATAACTCCTAGCACATGATGAGTTAGGTGGACTACAAGATACCGTAGGAAATATCTTTGAATTATCATCCCAACACCATCGAGTTTTCTCATTTTCGAGTGCGTATGAGGAAGATATGCCCATTTGAAGTCGGGCTGTCTAGATAAGGAAAGTCAAAATCAGATTTTAGAAGGGTACTATGGTCTTTTCACTACCCAATTAATTAAATTCGCTTCTGATAATTAAATTGGGGTCTAAACTGAATTGGTTCAGTTTACACAATTGAAAATCACGCTAGGGTTTTTCGAGAAAGAACTCAAGAGGAGAAAGAAGAAGAAAAGATCTAGATTCTTGAGGAATTGATTGCGGATTTCGCCAAGGATTTGATCCTACGAGGTATGTGAGTTCACATAGCGTTGAGTTTGTTCACCCACGTGCCAAACATATTTATTTTAGTGTAATTTTTGTCCTAAAAGATTGAGGATTTGATGTTCTTGAGTTGTGTTCTTGAATTGCTTTCATTCTTGAACTTATATGGGATTGATGAGTTTCTTGAGACATTTTTTGTCTATTTCAAGAGTTGTTTTGAGTTAGATTTTTGTGTGCATGTTTTGGGTATCTGAATCTAAAGAAATATTGAGAAAAAGAATCAAAATTAATCGGATAAAGGTTTGAAAACGAGAGGAAAAATTTGTCAGATTTGACTGGGGGGATGCTGGCGTGGTGCGCCCCCGTAGCGCCAAGAAGGCTGGGGCGGCGCGCCAGCAGTGCGCCAGAAATGTCTCTCTGAACTTTGGGGCTGGTGCGGCGCGCCAGGGTCATCCGCCCCAACCCATTTTTCGTCGTTTAGCCCGTTTGAGTCCTTCTAAAGTGTACTAACACTTCCTATTGATTATAACTACTCTGAATGACTTCTAAACACATAGAAATCATCCATAAACATGAATCATATTCATAACCTTGAATCCATAAATTTAAATTCAAGGAAAGTTAAGAGCCAAGTCTAGAAAGTTCTTAGAGTCCTTTCAATAAGCCTTTTACAGATGTTTTAATCTTGTTTTAAGACTTGAGTTTTGAGTTAAGTAAGAGTAACAAATGAAGTTTAGTTCTTCAAAAAGAGTATATGAGAACTAAGTATTTCCAAAGAGTAAATGTTTTCACATTTAAACAAGAGAGGGAACACTAATTTCCAAGAAAGCCTTTGAGCTAGTTTTTCAGTAATTATCTCAAACCACAGAAAGAGTTTTTGTTTTTAAACATATGAGATGAGTATTTTAGGAGTAGTATTTAGCACCAACGTGGGGATGAGTTCATAACAACTTAATGTCTCCATAAACCATGTAGCCAACGTGGGTAGAAAGGGTCATACTTTTTAGATGATTCCTTAATGGTTTTTAGCATAGACCAGTAGATCCACTTAGTTGAGGCGTTCTATATCCCGTCAAGTTATAGGACAGTTCTGGCAGGGTGAGCGAGACGCTGTATCATCACGTAGCTCATAGTGATGGTTTACGATTAGAGAATCTCCCAAACAAAATTTGTTTTTGTATTCTTATATACAACAAAGATGTTATGGTATTTTACAATACTTTGAGTTGTCATCTACTGTTTTAAATGCTTCATATAAATTGCACCTTTACTATTGTTTATTTCTGTATTAGGTTGAGTATCCATGAGTTGAGTAAAGTTGAGGTAAGTGTTTATTTCAGATTCCAGTTCAAGCTTATGTATTGTTGATGCAAATACAGGTAATCAAGATCAACATCTAGCGCCTTGTTGATCCAGTTGAGCATTCAGAGTCGTTTCATGACTCCTTACTTTCTGGAGGATCTCTGTTTACATTGTTTTAGTATTTCAGTTGTTAGGATGATTGGGGGTCTTGTCCCGACATCCCTCATAGTTTTGAGGCTTCATAGACTGCTAGTTAGTTCATTTGTCTTTACATTTCCTTTCTGTTATATTGAGACTTGAGCTTGCCTTTATGGCCAGTTGAATATTAACATTCTAGTTTATTTCATGGATTTATCTTTGTTGAGTAAAGTCTTTCGCTGAGTAGTAAGCCAAGCCAAGGGTTCGCTTGGGGCCATAAATGGTTCTCAAGTGCCAGTCCCACCCAAGGTGTAGGCTCGAGGTGTGACAAACTTAGTATCAGAGCACAAAGTTTAAGATTCCTAGGGAGTCTATGAAGCTATGTCTGTAGAGTCCTAGTTGTCAGTGTGAAGCGCGCTACATCTATAATTAGGAGGCTACAACATTTAGGAACTATCTCACTTCTTTCATATTCATTTTGTGCGATATAGTTAATCTCTATAAGGTTTCCTTCGAACTCGTGCTTGCGCATGTCTTTCAGATCATGCCTCCACGAAGAGCTGTCAGAGGTTGTCATGCTAGGAGGAATGTCGAGGAACAAGGGGTACCAACTACACACCTGAAGTGCGACCCAAGGAGAGGTCACCAATACTGAGTTCAGGGAAGCGATCAGAATGTATAGTCAAGCCATGACCAATCTAGCTGGACAGAGAGAAAACCGACATGAAGTGAATGATGCTTCAAGGATCCATGAGTTTCTAGGGATGAATCCTCCAAGTTTCACTGGTTCAAGCACTATTGAGGATCCGTAAAACTTTATTGAGGAACTGCATAAGGTGTTTGAGGTTATGCACGTTGCTGATGCTAAGCGAGTGGAACTAGCTGCATATCAACTAAAGAGTGTTGCTAGGACTTGGTTGGACTAGTGGAAGAAGGGTAGAGTTGAGGGTGCACCGATTTTGAGTTGGGCTAGGTTTGAGGAAGCCTTCTTGGAGCGTTTCTTTCCTCGTGAACTGAGAGAAGCCAAGGTACGAGAATTCCTTACCCTTAAGCAGAAATCTATGAGTATTCATAAGTATAGTTTGAAGTTCACCCAACTTTCCCGATATGCTCCGAAGATGGTTGCTGATATTAGGAGCAAGATGAGTCTGTTTGTTGCTGGGTTGTCTCGTCTGTCTAGTAAGGAGGGAAGGGTAGCGATGCTAATAGGGACATGGACATAGCGAGAGTTATGGTTTATGTGCAGCAGGTTGAGGAATTGAAGCTGAGGGATAGTGAAAATTTTAGAAACAAGAAAG